GAGGGTCCCAGAATCCAGTAGTTGTTTAGTCTACAAGGTTGGATGCCTCCACTGACCTTCAGTATGAGGTGGAATCTGGCTCTAACGCCAGTGACGGCATGGATTTGCCTATGAGAGTAAGTAGAGAGCAAGGTTTCTTCTTCTGTGTCCTTTATATAGGCTGGCACCAGTAGGTGTAGCCCAGATTAAAGGTATATCTTTCCGCTTTCAAAATACTTGAATTAAAAGTGAGTCTTCCCATTTCAAATGATTTAACTGAAAAAAAAAACCCTCCGCATCCAGTTTCTAGGGTTTTAGTTATGATGTAGTCAAGTTAACAAGCAAGAATAGCCATCACAGGTGCATTTTCTACCTGTTTGCACTCTCTGTTTCTCTCTCTCTCTCTCTCTCTCTCTCTCTCTCTCTCTCTGTTTTTCTCTCTCTCATCTCTATCTCTCTCTCAAAAAATCCATGCATTGTGATATCTTTATATATTTTTCCACATCATTAACCCCCTATTTTTCGAGCCCACACATCTCATTTGCATTCTCTCACAATGTATCCCTCTAGTTAAATTCTTTCTCCACCAGACTCTTCTACTTCAGCTTGAATTACTTTAAATTCATCATGGAGAAAAGTAAAATCTCCCACCTCTAGTAGGTTGCCTACCTTTCTGTCAACATTTTTAGCTCATTAACAATATTCTTCCCATTTCCATAGCTAGAAACCATTGTGTCTTTTTTATGAATTCCCTGACATTTGTGTAATATTTTTTCGTTTTTATATCTTGGATTTATTCCCACACTAAATCCTTACTAGTATCATCCTGCTCCATCCCCATATAATGTGATGTGTACATGTGAACAGTATGTGGGCTGGCGAATATGCTAAGACATGCCTATGAAGGTCAGAGGATGATCCATGCAAGTCGAGTCCCCCCTTCCACCATGTGGAAGCATGTCATCTTCTGAATCCCTTTGTCAGCCCCCAATGCTTTCCCTTGTTTTTATGTCTCTACTTGGTATCAGTGATATTTATTTCTGCAATGAATTTGGAAGTAATTTCTCTTCTAATTTGTTGAAGAGTTTAAAATGATTTTTAGAAATTCTTCTTTGTTTGGTAGAATTCACTGTTGGGGACTGTGGACCCTGAATTTCCTGTGCTGGAGTAAACATCTTGTTTTCCTGTGTTTGCAGCTGCTCTGAGCACGAGACAGGGGAGTGGTTTCTGGTGGCTTGAAGCTGAAGGATCCGGAGAGCGTGGTCACTGGTGAGGGAATGCTGCCCTGGAACACAATAAAACTGGCATTCTTGAGGAAGTCAAGGATGACCCATGTCTCTGTCTCTGTGTGTCTGTGTGTTTCGATCTCCAGCCCCTTGCCCAGCTCACGAAACATCCATTCCTGTGGTACAGGCAGTGTGCTGCAGGCATGGTACCATAGCACACGTAGAACATAGCACAGCAGAACACAGGTATAGTGTGCTACAATTCACCAGTGAGACTCTTGGGTCCTAGGTTTGTTCTTTGTTCAAGGTTTTGGCTATTTAGTCTCCTTCTTTGCCATTGACCAGTTTCGGATTTTCTTTCTTTCTAATTCAATGCTGATGGGTTTTCTGTCTCTAGAATTTCCTGTATTTCTTACATGTCTAACTCCTGGGCTGGCACTAGTGTAAAGCAGTCCCTTTCGAATGTGGTCGACTCTCATTTCGTAGCCTATTTACTGCTTTACAAGTTTCGTGTCTCAAAAAGTGAACTTTTTATTTCTTCAACATACGTTTTGTCTATTCTATTTTATTTTGCTCTGATCTTTCTTTTCCATTCTGCTAATGTGATGTTTGATGTGTTCTTCTTAGAGCTGTGACCAGAGTAGAGGCCCAGCACAAATGTCACCTGTCCTGAGTTTTCTTTGTTTCTTTATGTTGGTAGCCAAGAGTTTTAGGAGGTTTTCCCTGATCAAATCTGATCTTTATTAATTTTGAAGGCATGTTTTGAATAATTTTGAAGCTTTTTTTTTCCTGTGGAAAAAAGGCATAACATCTCCTCCCCCAATGCAACCAAATTTCTGAGTCAGCTTTAGCTGCAAAACCTTGCAACTCTTTTAAGAGGTGTTGAGAATTTTTTATCAGAGCATACACTCCAGAGAAAGATTCCTCTCTCCCTGATTAGTCCTGCCAGTGATATCTTCTCCTGATTGGCTTTTTTACCTGTTAGTAACAGTTGAAATCTTCTGGGCATGGGCAAGGGGTGCTGGAATCCAGAGGGGGTGGGTAATGGGGGAGATGGAATCTCACCAAGAGGGGAATTGCTGGGAGTAAGGAGCAGCCCTTCTTAAAGGGGTCAGTTCTCTCCAACTGGGCCCTAGGTTCCCTGGTCCTCCTTCACTTTTCTCCCTCAAATCTTGGTGGTCTAACTCACTCTCTTTTTCCCATGATCCATGTTTATTGTTGCTGCTGGTTATTTTTTTGTTTTTCATGTCATCTTGATAGAAGACCTCATTATGTAGCACAGGCTAGCCTCAAACTCACAATTTCCTGGGACACACATGTTAAAATAAAATAAAAAAATACAAAATAGGCTCCTAGGATTCTGACACAAGGCCAGTGAACAAGTCTCTGTGCAGTGATTTGAATGTGTTCTCCAAAGCCATGTTGAAATTTAACTGTCATTTGTGTCGATGCAGACCTTGAGGGATGAATACAGATGGCTGCTGACACTTTTCTACTCACATCTAAAATAACCAATGACACCTCAAGGTCACTTCCCACTGGCGTCCAGCTGGGAAGCCCATGGGTTTCTTAGGGGTTCTTACAGGTGTATGGTAAGAGGTAACTTATAAGAGCTTAGGTGATTTGAAGGCAGCAGCACAGTGAAAGCCTAGCACAGGATGGGCTCACAGATCCCTGGAGCTTGACTTGCAAGCACCAACAGGTCAGAGAGTTTGGTCACTCAGCAGTCATTACTGCTTCCATAACCTTGTGGGAACTTGTAGATCTGATTTCAGGGATTTTCTGAGACTTGAGAGTTGTTATACCCCGAATCTTTTTTAAAATCTACTTTTATATGTGTGGGTTGTTTTATCTTCTGCACAGAGACTGTGCCTTAATCTACTACTATTTCAGACAGCAATTGTGACTCCAAAGTTACTGGTCTGCTTCTGTGGCACTGGCTTGACTGCTCAGGCCACAGCATGGCGGGAATTCTGCTGCTGCTGCTGCTGCTGCTGCTGCTGCTGCTGCTGCTGCTGCTGCTGCTGCTGCTTAAGGTAGCTTTAGCTAAATTTCTATTGTCCTATTTATAAATAAGACTTGAGACTCAAAGTCTGGGGTAAAAACCTTGTAGCACAGAGAGATGGAGGAGCAACTAATTAACATTCTCTCCTTGTTGGTGTCTCCAAAAAAATCACACCCATCTGCTCCACCAAAACAACAACAAAAATCCAGGCCTCTCAAAATCCCTCCCCACTTCTTCTGGAGTTTCTCTCTATCTCTCCAGATGCCCTCTGATGCTCTATAGATTCTGTCAGCTAGTTGCTAACTCAGCCTCCTGATCCAAGGTTAATTTTGTTTAATTAATGCAAATGCTAACTCAGGGTCCTCAGTGTGATCCAACAGTGGGTCTTTTGTCTGCATATATTTCTGTGCACCAGGGTGAGAACAGTGGAGGCCATTGAAATCCTGGAACAGGATTTGCAGTTGTAAAATTGTCACGTGAGTTCTTGGAATCAAACGTAGGTCCTCTGGAAGAGAAACCAGTGTCATTATGCACTGAGCCTCCTGTACTGCATTCTAAGCTTTAAAGAGGTCTTCTTCAGGACTCCCTGAGTCAGATCTTTAGACCATAAAGAAACCTTTAGACCATGAAGAAAACTGTTACACAACAATCACAACTGTCACATGCATCAGCTCATGTCTGCAGCTAGGCAAAGAATTCTGACAGCTGTGGGGAAGCAGAATTTGGGATTCTCTGATTAGGAGCTGAATTTGGTGCACGTACAAAATGAAAATGAATGGGAGCTGTAGTTTGACCTTCAATCAGGGATGCTTCTGGATGACAGTGTCTAGGGAGCTTCAGTTTCATTTCTCAAGAGAAGTGCTCCAGCCTGTAACGCAGACGCATTAGGCTCATGAACAGGATGTAAATGCCCTTCCCCTCTTGGTCTTGGATGTGAGGAAAATGAAAACATAAGTTTTAGAATTTAAATTAATCTGTGGTGGGATTCAAGATTTTGCATTTAAAAAGTCGGTGTCCTACTTCAGGAAACCCCGAGGACTAAAGTTTGTATATTTTTGGTTTAGGCTCTATTTTTTTCACTGCTCACATCATCCCCTCCCTCCCTCCCTCCCCCCCCCCCCCCCCCCCCCCCTCTCTCTCTGTGTGAAGATGTACTTGCCCATGCATAGGTTAGTGCAGGCCAGAGGGTAATGTCAACTGTCTTCCTCTTGCTCTCAACTTTCTGTTTTTGAGACAGGGTCTCTCACTGAACGTGGAGACAGCAGACAGTATGCCCCTGGATCCACTCACAGTCTCAACACGTGTTTATAGACAGTGCCAGCCTGTCTGGCCTTTATGTAGCTACTGGGGATCGAGACTCAGATCCTCATTTTATCCCAATGCCTCCTGAGACACCCCTCAGTCCTGACATCTAGTTCTTTTAGACAGTTTTTTTCATTCACCAATGATAAGTTTTACTACATATAATTTTAAGTACTAACATCTCCTTAACAGAGATAACTGTTCAGATATCCCTAAACTTCTGATTATCTTAAGTATGGCACTATTACAGGTTCTTCAAAAGGCATGAAAGGTAAACAGATCCATAACTGACAACTGTTTTACCCTAAAAGATGAAGCTCTTTCTAGCTCTGTGCACAGTGCCAGACTTCCATCTGGTGAGGAATTAACCGGTGCAAGTAGACCTCACACTGCACTTCTTCACCCAGGAGTGGAGCCCAATAACCATAAGGTAATCTTCCAACACAAACACGTACATGCGCACACACACACTTTGCTTTGTCTATATTTATACTTTATTGTTCTCGGAAATGAAGTCAGGAAGGCGGGAACAAGAATGAAGCCTGTGCAGAGAGCATCTGATCCCTTTTTGTTTAGGAATTATTATTATGCTAGACCATGATGCACATAAAACATTTACTGAGAACCGAATCAAACTAGAAAAGTTCTAGTGACTGGGCCATGGCTCTTTTGAGACAGGCGTTAGTGACTATGCTGTGAAAATATAAAAGGTAACACAAAACCAAATGTTTTCTTGGGGGAGAAAGGAGCAAGAGGGGGCCTGTATTTGGTAAGCTTGCTTCAAAGTTGTGATCTTCTTGAATCAGCTAAGATTGTGAGTGTGTGCGGAAACATCAGTTGAGAAAATGCCCATGAGAAAAGCTGTGCTGCTTTTCCTTGATTGACGGTGCATGAGACAGTGCCCAGTTCGCTGTGGTAGGTGCAGCCCTCGACTGTACAAAAGTACAGGCTGAGCAAGCTATGAGAAGCGTGCCAGCGAGCAGTACTCCTCCATGGCCTCTGCCTTCAGTTCCTGCCCTGGCTTCCATAGAGAACGGACTAGAAGCTGCAAGATGAAATAAATCCCTTTCTCAACAAGTTGCTTTTAGTCATGGTGTAAACATGTCACAGCAGTAAATACCAGCTAGTAAAGCATGAAATGGCAGACAGGTCTCTTGAACAAAGTCAAACTGACAGGCAGAACCTTCTGGAATGCATGCTTGACATTCTGAAACAGACTCTGAGAGAAGCAGAGTGAGTGATCCATCAACAATATCTGCTCAGTGGGCAAGAACAAGGTATGGAGACATTTGTTGCAATACAGCTGAAATCCTTGACTAAGACATTTGTTAATGAACACTCTGAATATGGAATAAAATGGAATGATGGTTCAAAATGCCACATTCGTTCATCTGTACCCAGAATTATTCTTCGGTTTAGCAGCAAACAAGGGAAGTAAAATACTGTTACAGTTGTGAATCGTTATGTTAACAAAACCTGTGTTCAAAAGGACAATCTTTGTGTGAATTCAATATCAAGGTTTAGTGGCATATACCACAAATTCACTGTTCATAAATGAGCATAGAAACCTTATGTTACTTTGTCAAACAACATTGTGGAATGGACTGAGCTGTATTTTTTAACTGTGTTAATTTGTGCATATAAAAGTATTTTAATATATATTTGAATATAACACATGTACACGATAAAAATGTCAGACCTCAATCCTGTACTTCTGTGTTCAATGGTAACCACTAAAGTTTCTTCTAGATTAAAAAAACAAGTCTATTCATATACAAATATATGAGTATAATTACATTTGTACACAAAGAGGCAGGAAAAGACAGGCAAACACACCCTCTTTGTCCACAGTGAGAATATACTGTATCCACTGTATGTGCTTAACAACATAACTTGAGCATCATTCTCTACTGGCATTTTCCAGCTTTTCCTTAACCTCTCATTAACAACATCTAGACAAAACCCCACAAAATTTTCTATTCAAGCCTTTAATCCCAGCACTTGGGAGGCAGAGACAAGCACATCTCTGTTAGTTTGAAGCCAGTTTGGTCTACATAGCAAGTTATAGGCTAGCTAGGACTACACAGTGAGATGCTACTTCAAAAAAAAACCTAGTAAGTTTTCTACTGATTCAGAGCCGACATAGACATTAGCAAAGAAAGCTAGATCATACCAGAAGGGATAACCACACTTTTATTTTACACAAGGCAGTAAGTATGCAAAAGCATAAACACAGATGAAACACTAATTGTGGTACTTCAGTACACAACAGCCTAATAGCTCATGAATTCTTGGCATATTTTACTGGTCATTTGTTACTAATATTTTCATAATTTTGTGTTTGTGGTCATATGTGTGAGTGCGTATGTGCAGGCCAAATGTCAAATGTATTTTCCTCAGGATAACTGTATCTTGTTTTAAAGCAGATTTCCTCCCTGTGACATATGGCTTGCAAATTTGGCTAGTCTGTCTGGTCAGGTAGTTTCAGGGACTCTCCGGTCTCAACTTTCCCAGTTCTGAGATTGCAAGCACAGGATCCTAAGGGTGGAATTCAGGTCCTCATACTTGCTCAGGAATAATTTTACTGATTAAGTTATCTCCCCAAATCTTATTCACATTTTTTAAGATTCATATTTTGCTCTAATATGGAGATAATTTATAATAAGTGTAAAAATACAGTATTTTCTGTATAGGTTTAGGATCAAGTTTAAATTTTATTATTAATCCATTGCTATTATGTAAAGATCCATATTCAAATTCTCTCATGTATAGCAAGGAATAATGTCCTTAAAAAAGATTTTCTAACCTACATCAAGTTGAGACCATCTTTTAACATTGAACGAGACCAAACTAGTCAGTCGTCAGATTTCCTAAACTAATTTTCCTCATTAGATTGCTCTTCTGAGTGACTTTTCATATGTTTGGTAAGAGAAGCGTTCTGTTTAAAGGCTTTCCCACACTCATCACATTCATAGGGTTTCTCTCCCGTGTGGGATCGCTGATGTATAACAAGCTGGGATTTTGCACTGAATGCTTTCCCACACTCATAGCATTCAAAGGGCTTCTCACCTGTGTGAGTTCTCTGGTGCACGATGAGATGTGACTTTTGACTAAAGGCTTTTCCGCACTCGGGACATCCATAGGGTTTCTCACCAGTGTGAACTCTCTGGTGTTGAGTAAGGCCTTCAATTTGCTTAAAGGCTTTACCACACTGATTACATTCAAAGGGGCAATCGCCTGTATGAGTTCGCAGATGGTAAGTAAGGGATGAACTATGTCCAAAGGCCTTCCCACACTCGTCACATTTATAAGGTTTCTCCTTTGTATGAGTTCTCTGATGTATAACCAGGTGGGACTTTTTGCTAAAAGCTTTCCCACACTCCTTACATTCAAATGGTCTCTCGCCAGTATGGATTCGCATGTGTTTAGTCAGGGATGAGCTATACTTAAAAGCTTTGCCACATTCATTACATTCATATGGTATTTCACCTGTGTGTGTTCTCACATGCTCAGTAAGAGATGAATTATATCTAAAGGATTTGCCACATTCCTTACACTCATAAGGCTTCTCACCTGTGTGCGACCTTACATGCTGCATAAGGTTGGAGCTGTGTCTAAAGGTTTTTCCGCATTGGTTACATTCGTAGGGCTTTTCTCCAGTATGAACTCTTAGATGGTCAGTGAGGGCATGTTTATGACCATGAGCTTTGCCACACTGAACACATTCATACGGTTTTTCTCCAGTGTGAGTTCTCTGATGTACAACCAGGTGGGACTTCTGGCTAAAAGCTATCCCACACTCATTACATTCATATGGTTTCTCCCCGGTATGAGTTCTTTGATGGTCAATGAGTCCTTGTTTATGGCTGAGGACCTTCCCACAGTGATTGCATTTATAAGGCTTCCCAGAAGCTGGAGCTTTCTCAGACTTGGTAGGTGAACTATGGCTAGATGATTTCTGTCTCTCTCCAGTCTGGATCTTGTCTTCTTTACTGTGAGACGAGCTATGATGGCACACTTTCTCACATCTCTTGCCAGTGTGATTTCTGTCACCTTTACCAGGTGACTTTTTGTTGAGGATTTTCTCACATTTCTCTCTGGCTGGAATTTTATCTTTTGTTGTATCAGCTATGGTGTGGCTGAATGATTTCGTGTGTTCTTTAGCTGTATCCGGTTTCTTTTTTGTGGTGTTTTTAATCTGATCTGGTAAATCTAAATTCTGCTTTAAGCTCTTTCCATGTGAATCAGATTTCGGAAGCTTTTTTTTTGAAGGAACATGTTTTGTACTGACTTTTTTTTTCTCCAACAAAGCACATGCGCTGCTTTTCTTACTAGTTGAATTTTTCTTCTTGAGTGTAGCTTCCTCAGTGAGCTTGCCTCGAGATTTCTGCTTTTCCTCTATGTGATCATCATCTTGTTGGACTTCTAAAAGAGAATTTAATAAGACATTCTTGTAAGGTTTTACGCTCCCACTGAAGTTCTTTATAAGATTCATAAAGAGATGCCCTGGTTGGGGTTAGATACTTGTTCCAGCCTAATGTGCCCATGTGAAATAACTCATTTAGGATGACTGTCTTTATTCGCCTGAGGGGAGAGAGCTGTAGGAATGTCAGGGGAAAGAAAACTAAGAGTAGACGTTAGGGAAAGCTTTGGCTGCTTAGAAAGAGAATCTTGAAGATTGGGGTGGAAGGCGAATAGACATAAGGAGATCTGAACAAGGAATGCATCAAGTTAAAAGACTTCGTGATTATGCCAAGTAAGGTGGCATGTGCCTGTTGATCCCAGTACTTGGGAGATTGAAACAGAAGGGTTTTCATAAGTTTGGGATCAGCCTGGGCTACATAGCAAGACATTACCAGTCTCTCCCTTGTGATTAAGATGACATGATCCAAGTACTGTGAAAGGCACGATTCTCCTATGTAATAAAGAGCTTTCAACACAAAGAATGAAGCATACACACACAGAAAGAAGTAGAAATGTAGGACTATTTGTCCTCAAGAATACAGTGTGTATAATTTCAATTCCTGTGACCTCCAAGTTGCCAATTCTTGCTCCTGGTGGAGTCTGGCTAAAGTCTCTGCCTTTAAGTTATGAGAGATATACCCAAGTCTCTTCAATAAATCCCTCTATTTACTAAGGCCAGCTAAAATAAACTAAAATAGAGAATATGTCTGCCAAGGAGACCCAAGGAACTAATAGATGACCGAGACACTAAGCAGGAGAGGATGTCCACTGCTCCCATCCTTGAGCAATGGAGCAAGGACATCTTACTAAACAAAAGCTCCATAGTTCCTCTCAGTTCCCTGATGCCTTTATAAGGCCATGAGATTCCTAGTAATTAGCTTGGGAAATACTTTATGCCATTTGGGTTTACAGTGCACACCCACCTGTTTTTCAAGTTTACTTTCAAGTACATCCCTCTAGTTCCTGTCATTCTAACTGCCAAATCATCAGATATATTAAGTGTATGTATATAGGTCTCAGTACTTGCTCACATCTTCCTCCTGCATATTTCACAATTACATTTACAGAAATCTTAAAACATTGTTCCTCTTCCCTAAGACTACTTGCCTTCTGCACAAGGCTTCCCCACACACTGATTCTCTACATAGAAATGGAGTAGGGAAACCATCAGAAATAAGAATTTTAAACATTTAAAGAGAAAAACATGTAAGAGTGATAAAGGGATTTTACATGGAGAAAATATGGTATCTGGAACAAAGGCTGAAATTCTCATTTTTATGGAGGGCATTTAAGAGATTTGTTTTCTGGTGGGGTATGTGACACACATCTTAAATCCCATCACTCATGAGACAGAGGCAGTGGATCTCTGTGAGTTCCAGGCCAGCAGGGCTACATAATAGAGACCCATCTGAAGAGACAGAGAGGCAGACAGAGACGGAGGCAGAGGCAGGTTTGGAAGGAGTCAGATGTAGTAGGGAGCCCAGAGAAGTTGTATGATGGCTGTTTTTCATCCAGGGACGCTTAAGAGGTTCAGCATCCTGGGATAAGAAGATAAACAGAATCTTCCAGGCACCATGCCAAGCCAAGTCTTCTGATACCCAGTGATGATGGGGAAGACAGGGACAAACTTCCTTCTTGAAAGAAAGTGATCAAGACTTACACCTATCCACTTGACATGTAACATTAAAACAAACTGCCTGTGTGTATACATGTTCACTTGTATATGTGTACACAGATATGTATGCCCATGCGTGTGGAAGCCAGTTTGATATCATGCAATTCCTGGATTATTTTCTTCACTTTATTTATTTATTTATTTATTTATTTATTTGCAGCAAGGTCTCTCACTGAACTCAGTTCACCAATTGGCTAGACATGCTGACCAGCGAATCCCACCTCCTTGGTGCTGGATTACAGGTGTGCACTGCCAGGAGCAGCTTTTTACATGAACTCCAGTGTTTCTGCTTGTGTGGCTCACACTTCACAAATGGAGCCATCTCTCCAGGCCCAAAGCACACTCTTACAGTGCTGTATTGAGTGACCACACTGATATCCACTCCCCCAAAAGAAAGAAAGCACGAAAAGAAAAAATTCATATGAAGAGAATGCAAGTTAGAGTTGTGGTATGTAATAAGATCAAACCTGGACAGATTTCAGTATGATAGAATAATTCATTAAGGCTGAGAACAGTTTCTTTTCCTTCCTTCCCTCCCTCCCTCCTTCCTTCCCTTTCTTTCTCTCCTTCTTTCTCCTTCCCTTCCCTTCTTTCTTCCTTATTCCTTCCTTCTTTTCTTTTCTCTTTCCTTTTTATTTTGGTTTTTCAAGACAAGGTTTCTCTGTGTAGCCCTGGGTGACCTGGACCTCACTTTACAGACGGCCTTATTCTCATATAGATCTGCCTGCCTCTGCTCCTAAGTACTGAAATTAAAGGTATGCACTGGCCGGGCGGTGGTGGCGCACGCCTTTAATCCCAGCACTCGGGAGGCAGAGGCAGGCGGATCTCTGTGAGTTCGAGACCAGCCTGGTCTACAAGAGCTAGTTCCAGGACAGGCTCCAAAACCACAGAGAAACCCTGTCTCGAAAAACCAAAAAAAAAAAAAAAAAAAAAAAAAAAAAGGTATGCACTACTACCACCTGGGAAAATCATTCTCTTAATTTGAGAAAGCAACAGAACATTAATTTTAAGAGAAATCAAATGTAACTTCAGAAACTTAGGCATAGAGCTCACTATACCAGAAATATGTAATGTTTATCGGTAACATATAAGATGATTTAAAAACTAGACTCATTGAATCCTCCTGAGAACTGAACTCAGGGATAAGATAAGCCTAATTTGTGTAATGATAGTGACAAGTAAGAGAAAACAAATGGGACCTGATAAGAGGATCATGAAACAAAAGGTTAAAATTAGAGGACAAAAACAGGGAAGGTGAAAGGAGCCTCTAACTAATGCGGATGAAACTCCATATCTGACTCCTAAGGAAAGACTTCCCCACAAGCAGTTTCAATAAGAAGGTATGACAGAGGCCTTAGAAGATGCCAACGTAGAAAATGAGCTTGTATTTACATAATGGGTGCCTGTTGGAAAGTGGGTAACAGAGGAACAGAACATAAAGAGGCAGAACCGGAAGGAACCATCGGCAAAGACAGGGAAGCTGGGACCTGAAGGAACCATCGGCGAAGACAGGGAAGCTGGTGAGTAAACTTGCTCATTAAAGAAAGGGCAATAATTTAAGGTTAATCAAAGTTATTAACATGTGCATTAGAGGGTAAGCAGGTTGGCTATATTAATCATATTAACTACTTTCCTATTGCTATCACAGATAAGAGTATGTCATGGCAGGGAGATATGGAAGCAAGGGACAGGCATGGAGCAGGAAACAGTTCACACCTCCTAAGCCTCCCCAAACAGTGCCACCAACTGGGAACCAAGCATTCAAAAGCCCAAGACAATGGGGAACAACTCATTCAAGTCATCACAGGGATTAGGGACAAATGGACGTGATGATGTCTTATGGAACACGGGTAGAGGAAGCTCTGTAGTGAAAGGAAGGAAAAAAAACCATTAGGAGCAGGGGCATCATTCCGAGATGCAGAAGAACCTAAGAATGTCCAAATTCATCAGGAGAAAATGTCATACATTAGGGAATTGGTACGTGGGTAGAGGGCAGAAGAGGACTCTTTTCTAAATATGGTAAACAGGAATGAGGTTGAGAGCCCAGGTGGAGTCTTCTGACAGCTAAGCAATGGGCACATGGACAGGGCTAGGAGCTAAGTGAAGGGAATCAGCCAGAAAGTGACGGTCCTGTCCCTGGCCTTCCCAGTGGCATGCCTCCCCCACTGAACCACGGGGCTTGCTCTGACCATTCTACCTGAAATGGATAGCTACCACATCCACGCAGTGGGTTTAGGAATTAAGTGGTTCTACTCACCCATTTTTTTCTTCTCCAAAAAAACAAGAGTTTGTCATGAGCCTCTCATGTGGACAAGTTCACAGAAATAGGAGATATTAGAATCTCCAAGTAAAAAATATTTGTAATTTGAATTCTTTTTCTCCTATTTCCTGCTTAAGAGAAGAAAATCTGGGACTTTTAAGAAAAAAGTTTTTTTTTTCAAATTGGGGTTTTAATCTAGGTCCTTGCACAGTGAAGAAGCACTCTCTATGTTGAGCCGTCTCCCCAGCCCTAATAAAAATTTACAAGTTATTCTTTGAAGAATTCCAAACTTAGCACCAAGAAACTAAAAACTTACTTTCATTGGCTCCTGATTTCTTGGGTTGTGCTATTTTGCTCACACTATGTGGGCTGGTTGTTTTCGCCTCTCCCAGTGATGGCTCTTCTTCTTTTTCCAACTTAGAGATCATGCCTTGTTTGGGATCTTGATTTTCTGCTCATAAGAAAAGGTAGAAACTGAGTGTAGGACCAACCATCTCATTTCAGAAATCAAGCCCTGGTGCTTGTACTTTAGGACCTTTCAAGACTAATAAACATATATGACTTCTAATGTTTCACAATAGGGATATCTGTGTGCTTCAACTGAGTATAGGTCTTCCCTTTTGAAGGCAATGTCACCAAGTGTTCTTCCTAGTACCAAAAAGGGATTGAAACTCCTTGACTCACCACCACTATCACCTGGTGTGGGATTCCCTTCTGTATGCTGTGATTATGTTTTATTGCCATTGATTAATAAAGAAGCTGCTTTATTTAAGGCCAAAGGCTTAACAGAGTAAAGCCAGGTGGAAAATTCAGAGATGGGGAGAGAGAGAGAGAGAGAGAGAGAGAGAGAGAGAGAGAGAGAGAGAGAGCAGAATCAAGGAGAGGCCATGTTGCTACCAAAGGAGACAGACATCCCAGAACCTTACCAGTAAACCATGAGCCTGGTGGTAAAATAATAGGAATGGGCTAATTTAAGATGTAAGAATTAGTTAATAAGAAGCCTGAGCGAACAGACCAATCAGTATTTTAATTAATATAATTTCTGTGTGGTTATTTCCGGTCTGGGCAGCTAGGAATGAATGAGCAGTCTCCACCTACAACATAATAACCAACATGGGGCTGACTACATCCACATAAAACCTGAGAGATCTTAGGAAGAAATTCTAGACACAAAAAAAAGCAGAGTTAAGCACAGCTTTTTTGGTAGCAGCATTTTCTCGGGTGGACTCTGTTTGCTAGAAGCAAGCAGAGGCATGATTCTTTTAAGAGAAGGCTTCCTGAGTCATCAGTAGCAACAAAACCTGCACGGCTCTTTAAGAAGGCTTCCTGGATTGTGCTAGTTGCAGTAACAACTCTGACTCTCTCAGGAGGCTAAGAAACTTGACTGGGGTTTGTGGGCAGCAGGCTGCGAGTTACTTGGTGGCAGCATGGGCCAACAGCTTCCCAGAGTTGAGGTGGTGGTCACGGCTCCCACCTGGTGGTCCTAGAGTTGGCAGTAAAGGTACCTCCACCATATTGAAAGGTTGAGAAAGGCGAGCCAGCATCCAGGGCCACTACAACCAAGTTGCTCACCATTTTAAAAGCACTCCTGGTAAGAAAATGATTACAGCTATACAATAAAGACAGATTCAGACAGAAACAAACCTCTGAATGGGTCATAGTGTGTTTAAAATATGTTTAAAATAGGCTTGGGAGAGAAAAGAAAGAGAGTACAGACAGTTATAAGAAGAAATAATAGCTTTACAAAAAAAAGACTTTAAAGAGACAGTAAAAGTAATATAAAAGAGTACAGGTAGTCATAGATTAAAAGAGTAAAGAAAAACAAGGCATGTAAAGATGGAATATACACAGAGAGTCTAGATTATGCAAATTATTGTGTTTTCTTTGATTTTTTTTTTTTACTACAGAGAGATATTTGATTCTGGGGGCTGCCAAGCCAAACCAACATATATATCTTAAAGGTATTTTGACTTCAAAATTTGAGTCTAAGGATATGTTGCTTTGGAAAAGAGGTTCTGCTTTTGTTTCCACAGAGGATGAGAACCTGTGGATTCCTTCCAGACTAATGTGGTTTGATGGTCCAAGATTCCCCCCCCCCGAAGGGTCTCCATGAACCCCCAAAAATACTATGCCCAACAAAAAGCAGGAAGCAGTTTAGAGAGAACTACACTCAAATTCCCAAATATTGTTTATAAATGTTTGTTTTCATTTAAAAGGGAATATGACATGGAGATGAATATTTTGTATTGGTCTTGGTCTATTGATAAAAATTTTAGGTCAATTTTGTTATATTATTTGCTCTTGTTTAAGGTATTGTGTTTGTGCAGTTCATTTAAAAATGTAATGTATAGTTAAGAAATACAGATTAATAGATAGTAATTTATAATAGTCAAACTTGTAGTCATGTTAGTTAGGTTTTCTAGATGTAAAGAGATATATATATTTCAGCTGAATAAGTACCCTTCAAATCTTTCAAAGACATACAGAATATGGCATTTAAAATGTTTTAAGAACTTAAGACTTTTCTTGACAGTGAGACATGTCTGCTTCTGGCAGCACCAATTACTTCAGAGAGGTTGGTGGGCCTTGAAGAAACCCATTATGGAATTTGCCTTCAATGTGACAAGGCTAGCCATTTGGACAAGAAACTGCTCTTGCCTGGACTGCTTGATGGTATGCTGGACATGTAGGATCCATAGAAAAATAACTGCTAAAATTGTCTAAAGAAGGTGAGAACAGTCCTTCAGGGTTCCTGCTTCATGGAAGAGTCTGCCAGACGTTCTGCAGGACACAGAAGAAAGTCACAGATAAAATGCCAATATAGGCAGAACGACTTTGAAATTTCCTGCTTCATGAAAGAGTTTGCCAGATACTATGGGCCTGTGGGCTCAAGATGGATACTCCAGTATTACAGAAGAACTTTTGGTGACTGTCCAGACAGTGACACGTCTCTATAAATTCTAGAGTTTTGGAAGTTGCTTGTGATGCACCCCCTGTTTACTTAGGTAATAGTATAGTCTTTTGGAATCTTTGATAGAGTTGAAGAAAGATAGTTATAATTATAAAAGATAGATTAGAAATGAAACTTTAGACTCACGAAGATAGGATAGATGATAGAGCATTTTCCTTAATTTGCCAAATGTAAATGGACTAAAACTGTTTTGTTGTATGTAATCTTGATATATTAAAGTTAAAACTTTCCTTTTCAATTAAACAGAAAAGGGGAGGTGATGTGGGGTTCCCCTCTGTATGCTATGAATATGTTTTACTGCCATAAAGAAACCACTTTTGGCTAATGGCTTAACAGAGTAAAGCCAGGTGGAAAATCTGAACAGAGATGTAGAGAGAGAGAGAGAATAGGTAAAGTCATGTAGCTGCTGAAGGAGACTGATGCCCCAGAACCTTACTGGTAAACCACAAGCCTCACGGTAAAATACAAAATAATAGGAATGGGTTAATTTAAGATGTAAGAATTAGTTAATAAGAAGCCTGAGCTAATAGGTTAAGCAGTATTTCAATTAATATAGTTTCTTTGTGACTATTTCGGGTCTGGGAAGCTAGGAACAAATGAGTGGTTGTAGGCAGACTACAACCACTACCACTACCACCAACAATAATAAAACCCATCGAAGACTTGAGGCAGAAGGGATTGCAGTGAACACATTCCAAGTGATGGGGAATTGTCCTTACCCATTGAGATCTGAGGCAGAAGGAACTGCAGTGAACACATTCCAAGTGATGGGGAATTGTTCTTACCCATTGATAAGTTTCTCTGTGTAGGTTCCAGTTGCTTCCATTCTTTCTGAGTAAAAGCCATAAACACATCTATGAATGTTACTGATTTCTACTGTACTCCTATTCAGCCCATAATTTGTTAATTCTCCACGTTCAGGAGTGATCTGAACAACAGAATTTGGTTTTGCCTCAACTATCCACTATTGATCACTATGTACATTTAAAGATAATCCCTCACCCTCACAGACTAGCAATACTGATATGTCACTAATCTCGACCTCACAGGCTTCCTGTCTGCACTCTTAATAACCCCTGACACTAAGTGCCACTGCCCTCACAATCTCCTAACCACTTAATTAATTCTAGAATGACTGATGCCAACAACTCCATTACCAAACATCAGCAGATTCTCCCAGGCACTTGCTCAGTGGATTCCTCTATCATGGGGTTCCACAATATACACTGATCTCAATCTCCAATAAGTCCTGAAATGTCTACTCTGATTAATCTCCAATCACTAACACCAACAGAACTCTTTTACAGTGGCCATCGCTGAAACCCTGATCTTATCTCTCATTGACTGTCCACCCATCTCCCAAGGATCCTGATTCCTTACAGTGATAGCAAGAAGAGCCTACCTTTAATTTCTTATCCAGTTTCACTATCTCGAGTGTTTACAGAGTGTTTATGGCTCAGTGATTCAATAGGAAGATGACAAGATTCATCATGTAATTATAGTCACAGCCATGGTTGATTATAGCTAAAGGACACAAAGCAAATCATTAAGGGATGAATTCTGGATGAAAACACAGAATCCAAGAATCCAAGAGTCTTTTCCAAGTAGAGTCACAGAGAACACGCTTTTTTCCAGAAACGAGTTTTGGCAACACATATGAAATGTGTTATAAAGTCCCAAAGAGACTCAGTGCTTGAGGACTTTGAACACATATGAACACATATAAACACATATGAACACATGAACATTTGAACACATATGAACATTTGAATACATATGAAATATGTTGGAAAGTCCCAAAGAGACTCAGTGCTTGAGGACTTTGAACACATATGAACATATGAACATTTGAACACATATGAAATATGTTGGAAAGTCCCAAAGAGACTCAGTGCTTGAGGACTTTGAACACATATGAACACATATAAACACATATGAACATTTGAACACATATGAAACGTGTTGGAAAGTCCCAAAGAGACTCAGTGCTTGAGGACTTTGAACACATATGAACACATGAACATTTGAACACATATGAAACGTGTTGGAAAGTCCCAAAGAGACTCAGTGCTTGAGGACTTTGAACACATATGAACATATGAACAATTGAACACATATGAAATGTGTTAGAAAGTCCCAAAGAGACTCAGTGCTTGAGGACTTTGAACACATATGAACACATATGAACATTTGAACACATATGAAATATGTTGGAAAGTCCCAAAGAGACTCAGTGCTTGAGGACTTTGAACACATATGAACACATATAAACACATATGAACATTTGAACACATATGAAACGTGTTGGAAAGTCCCAAAGAGACTCGGTGCTTGAGGACTTTGAACACATGAACATATGAACATTTGAACACATATGAAATGTGTTAGAAAGTCCCAAAGAGACTCAGTGCTTGAGGACTTTGAACACATATGAACACATGAACATATGAACAATTGAACACATATGAAACGTGTTAGAAAGTCCCAAAGAGACTCAGTGCTTGAGGACTTTGAACACATATGAACACATATAAACACATATGAACATTTGAACACATATGAAACGTGTTGGAAAGTCCCAAAGAGACTCGGTGCTTGAGGACTTTGAACACATGAACATATGAACATTTGAACACATATGAAATGTGTTAGAAAGTCCCAAAGAGACTCAGTGCTTGAGGACTTTGAACACATATGAACACATGAACATATGAACAATTGAACACATATGAAACGTGTTAGAAAGTCCCAAAGAGACTCAGTGCTTGAGAACTTTGCTAGGGACTGGGTTATATTGGGACATCTGCTGACATATACAAAAATTCTACACACCAGTTCCTAGACCAAAAAATCTAGATCTCAATTCCATTGTCCATATTAATTCACCAATACATCCTATTGCCACACATCTAGATGTACTCTGAATGTTAATTCTTCCAGTGTAATTCCAAATTGTCACCATACTCTCTTGCCTTTGATTACTGCAATAAACTTCTGACCTTCTAACTATATAGCCTTGTAGTTTATCTTCCATAAAGCAGGCATGATGATCTTTTTGGTTCAAACCAAATCACTTTATGACTTAAATTCAGTGATTTCTCATTGAAATTAGAATAAAATCTAAATCCAACACTAGCCAATATGATCTTACATGATATAATACCTTCTAACACTGATTTCATGTTTTTCTACTTTTCTTGCATGTGTGTGTGCATGTGTGTGTTCCCACACATTAATGATCTTTCTTCTCCTTCTCTTTCTTCTTCTTCTACTACTACTACTTCCTTTTTCTTCTTCCTCCTCCTCCTTCGTATAACAAGAACCTAGTTTCTATCTTGAGGCCTGAGCAATTGGCATTCTTTCTTTTGAACATTCCTTGGATCCATGCATTAGCCACAACCTGTCATAATTTGTATTCAAATCAACTATTATTTCTTCTAAAGATTAACTTGCAAACATCACACTCCTCATCTACCATATTGTCCTCTCCTATTTTCTTCATCAAAGGCACTGTTGCCTGCTACTATTATATATAGTACCTATAAAAGACACTATTGCCTGGAAACTATCTTACATTCATATTTGCAATCTTGTGGTCTCTTTCCTGTTTCTAGAATTTCAGACATTAAAAGACAGGCTGGCTCTATGTGTTGCTACTTAAAACATTCTCTGGCTTAAAATAGGTGCACATCTTACAGTCTGTTCTACAGTTTTCCAATCATTGACACCCAAAGATTCCTCAGTCACTAACCTTCACATACATCCCCTCCATAGAGGTTCCCAACCGCCATTCTTCACAAAACAATAGATACCCTCCATTGAACTCCAGTCAGTGACCTCACAGAGCCTTGTCTTTAAGACCAGCAACCTCACAAGCTCTTGACCTCAGGATTCTAGTCATAAAATCATAAAGGACTTTTAATAATTATTAATAATTCCTACCAAGAACCCCGTCACTAACAATCTACCATCCCCATAACCACTTCAATATAAAACACCTCATATTACACCAACTCTCGTCCCATTAGCTTCCAGGATCCCACTACCCATCACGGCACACAGAACACCAACTCTGAAAGACACTGACTGCTGATCGGACTCCTGGAAATACCACCACCCCTGACCCCAAGGCCCCATCCTCTGGTGTTCACATATTCCGAAAAACCCAACACTGCCCCTCTGACAGTCCACAGCCTGTAATACCCAGCTGCTTATCACGACTGTTCCCATTCAGTCTAAATTCTAATCCTTATAGGAAGCCCTATAAGGGCGCATCTCAGGTACATCACAAAGCCCTCATTTCTGATCTTGCCAGCTTTCTAGACCCAGACTCAATCGCTGTCAGTGACAGTTACAGACGTTCCCTGCCCCCAAGCCTCACTGTCTAGGCGGATCCGTGAGAACGGTGATTCCTTAAAATTACAGCAGTCCTCGACTAAGGTCGCTAACACCACGGGTATCATAGCAGTATACCTTACACTCCATATGCCCATAATACCCTAATACGTAGATCTCTCAGAACACCGGCATTCCAAAAGACTATCTAATATCGACGTCACAAATCTCAAATCTTGTCTCCAGACTCCAGCCACCCTCCAATTACTGACCGCCAAACCGCCCCCAAATCCTACGGCCCTCACCGCATCGCTGTCCGCGGGCTCGGGGGCAGCCATCTCCCTCGGACGCCCGGCCTTGACGCGCTCCTCCGGCCCACCGCCCCAGGCTTTGTCAGGACCTGGTTGGAGTCAGAGGCCGACGTGGCGGCCACCCCGAGCGCCGCTTCAGAGGGTCCTGCAGCTTCGATGGCGGCGCCTTGCGGAGATGGTTTGTGGGCGCGGCCATCTTGGCATGGACTCTGCCGTACAGCGGAGGCTCAGGTGCCTCTGGGATTACTGTCCAGGCAGGCTGGCCTGCTGGGTCCCAGTGCGGAGGGAAGCTGCTGCGAGACGCGCGCCCCAGAATTGAAACCTCCGACGCGCAGGGAGGTTTCATGTCAGTTCTGTTACAGAACTTGGAATTGCTTTTCCAAAGGGTTTTCCAGTTGCTGTTGCCAGGGAAACAGGATGACGAATCCCGCAGAGAAACAAACAATAAAAGCTGGTCTAGACTAGTAACACTGATTTATCTCTGAGACATAGGATAAATTCTTTGGATTGCTGTAACAATGGAGAAAGAAAGAAGAAAAGGAGAAGCGTCAGTCAGTGAACACACCACTTCTGATTAGAGCCCAGCTTTAGTAGAGACATTTCACCAGAATCGCACGGCTGTTAAAATGACGTCTGAGTGCACTTAACATGTTCATTGCAGTCACTGAACAGTTTTTGTGGGGAATTTTCAATTTGTAAATATGTTCAAGCAAGGTCCTTAGCTCTGTTGGTACTGGGCAAAGAACTCTTACACTGCCTTTATTCCCCGGTTTAAATTTGTGGTGGGGCAGACGTGATGAGATTATTGCTCAACCATCTTTGTTTTTTGATTTGAAGGTGAAATGAGTGTGGTGACCCCGCCTGCAATCCCAGTACTTAGGAGGCAGAGGTACACAGTCTTTTCAAGACTAGCCGGGTCTGTAGCGTGAACTTGAAGTTAGCCTGGGCTACACTAAGCGCTTGTCTCTAAAGACCAAAATAGAGAGAATGAGCTGATATGTGGAGGCCAGACGATAATCTCTAGAGTCAAATTTCAGTGATATCCAGTGGTCTCACTTAGTTCTTCAAACCCACCCACCCTAGGCCTTGTTTACTAGGCCTATACTGCTCTATGCTGAGCTAAAATACAAAGCCTAAATTAAAATAAATAAATAAATCCATGATTTGCACCTTCACCTTAAAGGAGTAAAGGGATTGCCTGTCTGTCAACAGTAGTTTCATCTTCTTTTCTTGAGTCTCTTGGGTGGGGTGTTCACCAGAGAAGACTTCTTGGACATGAATTTAAGACACTAGAAAGTTCTACACCCCAGTATACTTCCTCTGCTCAGGTGCAGGCCAGACTGGGCAGAAAAACAGGCTAAGTGACCTGTAGGTGAACTTTCTCAATGGAACTGCCAGATCACAAAGCTTAGCTTATAGCTTAGGCTTGTCTTACCAGCTCTTATAATTTAAATTAATCCTTGTCTAATGAGCCTTTCTCTGTCCTGCCTGCCAGCATTCAAATAACCACATGGACACTTCTTAATAAAGTTCAGCCAATAGCTTAGGCTTAGTTTTAGCTCTTATAGATTAAATTAACCCATGTCTTTTAATTGATATTCTTTTATATGGCTCAGTTAACTTTACTTTGTAATGCCCATGCTGCTTGTCCTGCATCTGGCTGATGACTTCACCCTTCTTCCCAGCACTTTCTGTGCCTGGAAATCCTACCTAGCTATTGGGCATTCAGCTTTTTATTAAACCAATCAGAGTGACATTTTCACAGTGTACAAAAAGATTATTCCACATCACCCATAATTTTAATCTGTTTTTGTTTTGTTCTTATGTGGCTTGGTTACCTTTACTCAGCACTGCCCATCCTACTTCCTCTCCATCTAGCTGATGGTGCCACCATTCTTCTTCCCAGAGCTTCTCTGTCCAGAAGTCCCTGCTATTCCTCCTGCCCAGCTATTGACCATTTAGCTTTTTATTAAATCAATCACAGTGACACATCTTCACACAGTATAAAGGAATGGCCCCACTCCCTAAATTCCATTTCCCAAACCAATTCTAGAACTCAAGCCCTCCTACCTCATCACTCTCCCTGAGGTCAGCCCTTCCCACCAATGCCAGCAGACTTCTATGGCAGAATGCTTGTGCACAGCATGACTGGTTTAGTAAAGAGCTCACTAGTCAAGAACTAGGCAGTAGGGTTATGTGGGATTTTCCGGGAGAGACAGGAAGATGAAGAGGAATCTAAGCATGCGGATGGTGCCAACAGAATAAGAGAGCAGAACATGCAACACGGGGATGAGATAATGGGCCACACGGCAGAACACAGATTAAAAATATGGGTTAATTAAGTTATAAGAGCTAATTGGAAAAAATCCTAAGCTAAGGCCAAGCTTTCATAATTAGTAACAAGTCTCCAGATCATTATTTGTGGGCTGGCAGTCCCAATGAAAAGTACAACTACAAATGGCACCTAACATCTGACCATATACATCCACACAAAGCCTAAAGAAGCTTTCTGGTGACCACAGTCTGTTGGGTAGGCTCAGTAATAGTGGCACAAAGAGGTATAGCTCTTTTAAGGTACCCTGTCACCACGCACTTAAATGGTGTTTATGAGCAGCAAGTAGTGAGCTACTCAGTGATAGGAGACTAGGTAGAAATGCCTACCACAGTGTGGACCCCAAAACTTCCCACATCTTGAGAAGATAGACCAGCTCCAGGCTGGGCCTGCAGGCATGAGGTTAGGCTCTCATGGAGTGAAGGGGGTGAAGTTAGACACAGGAAAGCCCTGCTGGTTAGCAGTTTAAGGTTTGACTTACATGACTAGAGAATGCTGCAGATGAATGGAAAGTAAGCTCCAGACCAAGAAACCTCTGAACAGATATAGTATGCCTAAAAATGTGCTTACAAGGTGATGATAAAAAATAAGATTGGTATAGACAGTCATAGAAAATAAACAAATGTTTAAAAATAATAAAGCCCTCAAAGAGAGAGTAAAGTAATATAAAAGGAAAAAGCCACATAAAGATGGGAAATACACAGGGTGTCTGGATCCTTTGTTGACTTTGAAATTTTTAAATGCTAACTAACAATAGCTGCTGAGAGACATTTAGGTATGGAAGCTGCTAAATTAAACCAGCATGTATATTTTAAGATTGTCTTTACTTCAGAATGGAAGTTAAAAAAAATATGTTACATTGTGGGAGAGGCTATGTCTTTGTTTACTTTGGAAACGAAAAGCTATAGATTTCTTCAAAATTAATAGAGATCTGACCAGAGGTGACCTCCTGAAAATCTTGGCTACAGACATAAAAAGAGAAATCCAAGAAGACTACAGGACAGATGACAAATATGTTCCTCTACATGAGAAGAGCTCTGAGACATGATGGAACTTGTTGGTTACAGAGTCTCATGACTTATTATGGCATGGATAGAGATTTATATTACAGTTTGGTTATGCAGTCCAAACAGACTTATAAAGTTTACAGATGCCTTTTACCTGCTTAAACGTAGAAGAGAAAACTCATCTTTAGCTGACTTCTGCACAGCACACATTCCATACGTGTGGTAATGAAGATATATACGATACCTTTAAATGTCTGTGTGTTTTCAGAAAAGAGGACAAGACATCAATGAAAACAAGTAGCCCGGATGATCCAGCCTCTCAGGATGCCTCTGTTGCAGTTTCCTCAAAACTCACTTCAAAGCTGCTAGCTGAGATGGTCCAACCTCACAGACTATCCAGTCAAGACTTCAGATAAGATCTACACTTTCCCACCACACAAAAACTAAACAAAAAGACTAATACAACGAGCTCTCCCAGGGCTTGACCATTATTCCAATTTTCTCAGGGTCCCATAAAGATGCCATCTCCCCCCCACCCCCAGACAGGGAAAAAAAAGATGCCCACATTCCAAGAGTTGGAGTGGGGTGGGGTTTGGTCATTCCATGGATTATGGATGTTTATCATCTTTAGGGTGATCGATTGCAATTTGTTACTGGCCATGATAAAGGAGGAAACTAAGCAAATAAGATTAGATTTAGGAATCTTTTTCTGAAAAAAAGGAGGATATAGAAATGACAGGATTAAAGGATAAATTATTGAATCTGCTTTAAACTAAAAACCAACTATAACTATATATTTTAGATTAGTATGGACTTTAATATATTGATATGAATTTAAGTTTATTTTTTATTATTCTGTATATTTGTCTCTACTCTTGTTTAAGAAATTTTACCTATACAGCTCACTTGGCAATATAATGTAAATTTTTAGTCCTTGAAACTTATTATTACAAACTATTTAGGATAATTAAGAAATCCAGGTTAGTACTTAGTCATTTAACAATAAAATTTGTAGCATACCTTGTGAGGTATGTTTTCAAGGTCAAACAGAGATAAATTTTAGATAGACAGATGGTCTTTGAACACTTCAAAGATTTACAGAATATGATATTTAAGATGTTTTAATAACATAAGGATTTTCATGACAATGAGATACAACTTCTCCTGGCAGCACCAATTTACTTTAAAAAAAAAAGGATGATGGGCATCAGGAACCTCAATGTGGAGTTTTCTTTCTTTGTGGCAAAAGTTAGCCACATGGCAAGGAACTGTTCTTGTCTCAACTGCTGACAGTGTGCTGTACAAATTGCACAAGCAGGGCACAAAAGAAGGCAATTACAAAACTTTGCCAAGACAAGGTAGTACAGTTCTTCACAATTCCTATTTCACAGAAAAGTCAATAAGATATTCTTGGCCTGCAGGCCAAAGATGAATGCCCCAGCATTACAGAGGTACTTTGGCTGACTGTCCAGACAGTCAGCTATCTTTGTCATTTCTATAGTTTTGGAGATTGTTCACTCTGCACTTCCTATTTACTCAGGTAATATTTTAACCTTCTTGGATTTCTGGTGGGGTTAAAGAAATTAGTTATAGTCTTACTGTTTTCCTTGTTACTAAGTTCAGAAAAGAAACTTATAACAGAAATGTAAAATTTGTAAGGTTGAGAGATATAAGAGCTTAAGTTATTTATTTCAAAAATGTTTTAAGGTCTAAAAGATATTTTAGGTTGGTAATACAAGTTACAATAGAACGTAAATTAAACACAAAACTTTGTACTCACCAAGAGAGAATAAATAATAGAGTATTTTCTCTGAATTTGCCAAATATAATTGGATTCAACATTGTGAATGCAATTCTTTTCTGATAATTGTCCTTATTTTATATAATCTTACTGTAATAGAGATAAAACTTTTTCTTTTTATCTAAACAAAAAAGGAGAAATATTTTGGGGATATTTACACACAATGT